CCAATTGTTTATTTTGTATTAGTTATTCATTTGGAAACATTTTGTCCTGCCTTCCTAGCAAGGATGTCAACTCCATGAGACCAGAAATCTTCTTTTCTTTTTTTTGTATCCCAAAAAGTACTCAGCACATACTTGCTATGTTAAATTTAAAATTGGAAGTTGTAACAAACACCAGTGTAAGATGTCAATAATAGGGGAAACTATGAAGGAGAAAGGTGCATATAAGAATTCTCTGTACTGGGGCCTCCCCGGTGGCGCAGTGGTTGAGCGCTGGGTTGCGAAGCTGCCGGCGACCTCTGTGGCGCCGGTTCGATCCCCGGCTGCTCCCCGGCCACCAGAGGAGGGTCCCACATGGCACGCAGACCTCTCCTGCCGCCCGCTGCTCCCCTCAGCAGTGTGCTTTGGTCCTTCTGCCTGCTCTGCTCCCCGCTCTGGCTCTGGTGAATTCTCTCACCCTCCTGTGCTTCTGAATGTACCCAGTGCATGTATAAACAAAACAAACAAACAAACAAATAAATAAAACATGCCTCTATTAAAAAAAAAAATTAAAAAAATTAGATTTCTATAAATATAAAACTAATCCTGGGCCTCCCCTTGTGGCATAGTGGTTGAGTTGAGTGCTGGGTTGCGAGGCTGCCTGCAGCCTCTGCAGCACCGGTTTGATCCCCGGCCACCGGCAAGGGTCCCACAAAAAAAAAAAATAAATAAAATAAAAAATATATATATATAACTAATCCTAAAAAACAGTTACTTTAGAAAATGTTTAATATCTTTCTCCAAAGGCTGAGTTCTTCTATTTAGTAGACAAAAGGAAGAAAAGATGACATTCAGAAAGTGAACTGATATATAAAAGTCAATTGCTTTCCTATATACTAGCAGTAAACAGATATTTGAAATTATATAGAAACATAGCATCAAAAGAGAAATATTTAGTTTAAATCTAAAAAAATATGTATAAGATCCATATTAGGAAAACCAAACAATTTTGATGAAAGAAATTAAAATGATTTAAATACATGGAGAGAAGTTCCATGTTCATGGATAGAAAAATTTGATATTACTACATTCTTCCCAACTTGATCTATGCATTCATTAAAAGCAATCACAACCAATACCCCAGTAAATTATTTTGTGGATATGGGAAAACTGATTCTAAAGTTAATATGAAAAAGCAAAAGGCCAGAATAACCAAAACAATGCTGAAGAACAACAAAGTCAAAGAACTGGAAAGACTCAAAAATGTGCTGTAAAGTTTTAATAAAGGCAGTAGAGCATGGGCAAAAGAAAAGACAGATCAATAGAATAATTGATTAGAATAGAGAGCCCCAAAAGACCCCACACAAGACTTAGACAAAAGAATAAAGGTAATTCAATGGAAAAAGGATGGTGTTTTTAACAAATGGTACTGGAACAACTGGACATTCACATGCAAAAAATAAATAAATCTAGACACAGACCTTCAACATTTCGCAAAAATCAACTCAAGTGGATCATAGGTATAAATATAAAATGCAAAACTAGAAAACTTCTAGAAAACAAACAACATAGGAGAAAATCTAGAGGAATTTGCATTTGGCAGTGACTTTTAAAATACAACACCAATATGTGAACCATGAAAGAAAAAATGGACAAATTGAGCTTCATTAGAATTAAAACCTTCTGCTCTGCAAAAGATCCTGTAAAGGGACTGAAAAGACAGACTAAGAAATCTTTGCAAAATGCACATCTAATGGAGCGCTTGTCCCCAAAATATACCCAAAAATCCTAAAACTAAACAATAATAACCCAAACAGAAAAATGTGCAAAAGATCTGAATCACAAAAGAAGACATACAAATGACAAAGAAATCTATGAAAAGGTGCTCAACATTATTTGCTTTTAGGGAATTGCAAATTAAAACAACTGTGTACCACTGTTCTCCTTAGACTTAAGCAGAATGGAACAGATACCACTACAAAGCTATTTAAATAGCAGAAATCCTACATAGTGATGATACTAAACTTTGGCACAAATGTGGAGCAACAGGAAATCTCATTCATTGCTTGTAGGAATGTAAAATGGTAAGGCCACTTTGGAATAGTTTGGCAGCTTCTTAAAATCTAAGTATAGCCTTACACATGATCCAGCAACCACACTCATAGATACTTAGCCAAGTGATTTAAAAACTTATGTGCAGACATAAAAAAATGCACAAAAATGTTTATAGCAGCTTTAGTCATAATTGCCTAAAGTTGGAAACTGATGGAAGCTAAGAGGAGAATATTTAGGATGGAGGCATTGCAAGACCAAAAACTGGATGTGGGGGTATACATGATTAACATATTTGTTAAACCAACTACAGAAAAGAAAAATCCTCAGGCACAGACTCATCACTGCAGAAGTATAGAGGCACAGACCAGAGGTGGGGATCAGGAGATTGGAGGTCATTAAAAAGTCACCCATCCTTACAAATTAACCCAATCACACCCTAAAGGTGATTAATTTAATAATAGATAACAATTCCACAAAGGAATGAGCCCATCCCCAAAAGAAGAACACTGTAGCACGACAATTTCTGCACTAGCGAGAAATAGTTCTTTCTTCCCACTTGTGTCTGAGCAACTTCTTTTTTCTTTCTTTCTTCTAATAAACCTAATTTTTTGGATACAACCAAACATCTTTTCTTCTTGCAAACTTGCCGCATGCCACTGAAAGGAAAATTCTGGTGAAGCTTTTCTCAGGGGAAATCCGAGGGCCCTGCTCCCTGAACCCCACATCTCCTCAGAACACTGTAGAAACAACAAGAATGTTCTTCAACAAATAAATAAATAAATAATGGTGCATCGGAACAATCAAGTATTCAAAAAGTAATGAGTTATCAAGCCACAAAAAGACTGAGGAATCTTAAACACATTACTAAGTTTATTATCTGTAAAAAAAAAAAAAAAAGTCTCAAAGATAGTTAGACAAGGAGGATTAGAGAATCGAAGTGAGAATCTGAGACTGTGATGCTGCCCTACAGACTTGACTCTGAGAGAACTGTTCCAACAGACACAACTTTGAATTTTTGTGTATAGAGATAATGCCAATTTTCACTGGATATTAAAAAATGTTATTCTTCCTGGGGGTGAAGATTGGTTTTACCTGAAGGTGTCAGATTTGGCATTGCTATTTCAGCCTTCAAGTCCACACAGATGGTTTTGCTTTGTTGTCCTCTCAGCAGGGAGCGGTCACCATCCCAGGACATTTTACAGTAGGCTCACAAGTTAAAGAAGGCAATCTGAAAAGGCTATGGTATCCTGTTGTGGGTGTGCAATAGAAATCATCTAAGGGGCCTCCCTGGTGGTGCAAGGGATTAAGACGCAACATATGAGGCTATCTGCAGCCACTGCAGCACGAGTTCCATCCCGGCCAGGGAGCTACCCACAAGGCACAGCAGACCTCTCCTGACTCTCCCGCTGCTCCCCTCAGCAGTGTATTTCAGTCAGTCTGCCTGTTCTGTTCCCCACTCTGTCTCTGGTGAATCCTCTCACCCCCCACACCTCTGGCCTGTACCCAATTTTTGTATGTATAAATAAATAAATCTTTAAAAAATATCATCTAAACCTATCTTGGGTTCTTCTCAGGCTGGACAAATAATCAAAATAGCAACAGACAGGTTAGTAAAGAAAAAACCATCAATTTAACCACATAAGTATGGGGCATTTACAAGGATGGCATGTCTAAGGAGTAACGGAGCAGGCTAGCAACATTTATCTGACATTTTGGACAGGGGAGTCAAGAACAGAAAGGGGACGACTTCATATGACAGACAAGGAAGGCGCGACCTCATCCTTACTCTGAGTCAAGATGAGATTCTTAGAATGTGCTTGCTGACAAAACTAGACCACCAGCTAATTCCTCTGAGTCATAAAAGGGCGAGCGGTGTCTGCTGCTTCAACTAGGAAAAGGACAGACACTTAGAACAGGAGGGTCTTCTCCTTGGCTAGGGAAGGGCAAAGTACTCTGGCAAGAAGTGAAGCTTCTCGGGTCTCCCCTGGTGGCGCAGTGGTTGAGCTCTGGGCTGCGAAGCTGCCACAGACTCTGGAGCGCCGGTTCGATCCCCGGCTGCTGGTGAGGGTCCCACATGGCACGCAGACCTCTCCTCATGCCCGCTGTTCTCCTCAGCAGTGTATTTCAGTCAGTCTGCCTGTCCTGCTTCCTATTCCCTCTCTAGTGTATCCTCTCACCCCCCTCACCTCTGGCTTACACCCCAGTTCTTATATGTATAAATAAATAAATCTTTAAAAAAAAAAAAAAAAGAAGTGAAGCTTCTCCTGGACTTCAGGACCCTCATTGCTCTCACCCACAAGCAACCTACGTTCATCCTGGTAATAGACCTCCCAAGGCTCATCTGGCCTTGATTGATCTCATTCCCACACCAAAGTGGCCAGAACACTACTCCGGGCCCATTGAGAGAAGCCTCTCTGATGCCTTTGAGGGACTGACCCATGATTCCAACCATATGACATTCAGGGAAAGGCAGACCTACAGAGACAGCAAAAAGATAAGCCGGGCCTGGGAGGAGGAGCAAGTAGGTGGAACACCAAGGATGCTCAAGGACCGTGACATGATTCTGGAGGATACTAAAATGATCAGTCCCAGATATGCATTTGTCAAAACTCATAGGACGTACAGCACGAAGAGTGAACACTAACCTACAAGATGGACTTTAGGTAACAAAAATGTATCAAGATTTGGTTCATTGACGATAAAAAGAAAAAAGGAGCCAGTGAAGCATTTTCAATACTCCATTCAGTCTTACTTTTGGCCCTGAACTGATTTTTGGTGATGTTCTGCAGGAAAGGATGCATCTTTGTAAAATATGTCTTAATTGCCTCACAATATTGCCAACGACTGCACCCCAGGTTAATTTGCCTAAAATAAAAACATGTTTTCCTGGATGCTTACCTAGGCCTTTGCTGCAATGAGGTTTCTTCAGGCCTGCTTAGGCGGGAGATTTATTTTATAATGACACTTACCCAAATCATGGGACTGTCTTCTCAGTATCACCCAGGAAAGATTTCAGGGTCTCTTGGGTCTTCCTCAGCAAGGGCCCAAATTGTTTAGAGAGTAGGCTGGGAGTGTATGGAAATAGGTATTCTCATAATGGGCTCCCTGGGGCCCGAATGTAGTTTCCAGTTAGAGAGATAGCCAGGAGATGGTGGCAGGCCTTGACTTGCCTGCTGGTGATGGAGCCCTCCTTTCAGCAAACCAGCCAGCTCCGCCCATGCCCCCCCACCAGGCAGCACATGCATAATAATGACATTGCAAGTGGTGCTATGGAGACCAGATTTAAAGGGCCAGATGTCCTTAGTTATGACCCTTAACCTACCTGTAGGCTGCCAGCAGCAATGGCAGAGGAAAAGAATGGCTAATGGGGACTGGCCTTCATTTCAAGGCAAGAAAGAAACCCATGAAACTGAAGGGTGCTCTCAAAGTCACTGTCAAGTCTTTAAGGTCTTCGCTCCCCCAGAAATCCACAGTGGAGCTCTCTCCACATCTGCCTTCCTGACCTCTATCCAACTTCTTTAGGTGGGCTAAGAAAAGACTATTTCCAGAATTGGGTATTTGATGTATAAGACATTGAGCTTCCTTGCAAATTGCACCATCCCAGATGGTGGGAGCTGAGGAGGGAGCTGGCTCAGTTGCTGGGAGTGGGCTCCACCAGAGATCAGCTTTGGAGAGCAAAACAATCCCCATTTAGGCCTAAATCACCCCATCAGCTAGTACATGGCTGTCAGAGATTCTCTAACTCATGAGAGCTATTTGGCCCAGTGTATTTTGGAGCAAGGCAAAAGAAATTACTGATTCTGGATCAGGTTTCTCTTCTGCACACACAGAAGAAATCACTTCATGTTCCAAGAAAGATGCATGTCAATATCTTGGCCCAGAGTGTCCATGGTTTCTGGCAAATCTTTGGAAAGTTTGACTTTTCATTTTAGTAAAAAAATGTACCACGCTGACCTTTTCCTAGAGTCCAAATTATAAAAGTAAGTCTGACACACAACATAGTGCATGGCTCTAGTTCTTAATAAATTGCAAGACTTTTTGACCTAGAAAGGAGCTGCTCCCCCTAAAAACTTTAAAAAAACAAACAAACAAACAAAAAAAAACACAACCAACCAACCAACTACAGTTATCAGGATCATGCTGTTTAAAATTAAAAAAATCTTGAGTTAATGGCAAAAGAGACATTGAAGAAGTTGAGGAGGTATCACTCTTTCAGGCAGATCAAGGTGAAGCCTAACAGCTTCTGGGGCTTTGTCAGACAGGAAATCACAGGGTAGGAACTAGACAGTTCAGAGTTGCTGCTGAAATTATCCTGCTGGCTGTCACCTGACACAAACTGCGTGTGTCAAAGGGTTTTTTCAGACATTTTACATTTCTCCCTTCCCTCTTTCATTCTGAGTGTGAATTCTCTGCCACTGTCTACCTGATAGAAATCCTTCACCTAAGAATGTTTATCACTTGCTCTATAAAGAAGCGGCAACCCTTTAGGACTCAGAAATGTCTAATGACGATCCTTTTCTCATATCTGTAGCAATAATTACTGTCTTTAGCAAAGACCCTTAAGAACTGCAAGATTTCAATGCATGAAAGATGCAGGAACTTGGACTACAGCACGCCTGTCACTTAAGTAAATGGTCATCCCTCTTCCTCAGGGCTTCTGAGTCCATTGTGCAAAGGAAACCACAGCTCTCCAAGTCCTGGAGATGACAGCGTGATCCACTGCCTCTGTCCACACAGACAGCACGTAACACTCCCAAACTGTCCCCAAAGCATTAGCCAAGAAGCTGCCAGGGTCTTGGCAGGACACGGGTATATACTCACTAGGGAATCAGAGAAAGTTTAATAAAAAGGCATGGTTTTCAAGGGTGTAGGTGAGGTGCGAATGACTCACCAGGAAAAGACTGTGCTGACCCAGCCTGAAGGCATGAGGAGGGAGCCGCCTCTGGAGCCCAGAGAGGGTAAGTGCATGGCGAGGGGACCTGGCAGGAGGGATGCAGAAGCCCAAGCTCAGCTCACTCTTCTCCCTCCTCCCTTCTCCTGCCAATGCCTCTGGAGGGCGGGAGCCTAGGGTCTGCCTCCCGAGGCACCAAGAAGGATGGAGAAGAGGCAAACAGGACATACCCAGCACAACCTACAATTCCACATCCCCCCCTTTTTCCCCATAGAATTATAATTCCAAAAAAATTGTCCTTTTTTCACCTCAGAAATCTTAGCTCTGTTTTCTGTTCTAAGAGAGCATTTTGAGCAGAAGTTTGAATGCGTTTCCTCATGATTCCTGAGGAGAGGATATTGTGTAGCCTCTCTGAGCTGCAGCCACAGGTCAGATAATAACTTGCCAGGCAGCCCGTAATGATTCCGCAGCCTGTTCCTGAGAGCTTACTGACACCTGGCTGCCTGTAATTATTGGAGCCAGCACAAATTTCACAGTCACTGACTCAAGTGTGCAGAAATGTCATTTTCTCTATTCTCCTATAATTGAGTGTACTTTTGCCTTGAGCCTCCATTCTGCCTCAAAGCAGAGGCAATTTAATCTAGTCACTCTCAGATAAACTCATCCGAATTCAGTCATTTCCTAGTCAATTCAAGTTTATAATTCAGTCACAATTAGGTTTAACATTAAGCCCTCCACCTCCCTTCTAATCTTCAGAACTGACTCGCAGCTCTCCAGAGCTTACCTGACGAGCCCATCTTGATTTTAATTTGTCCTGTCTGACCCCAGCTATACCAGATAACAGGTGCTCCGTTGAGAAATGGGTAGGTGGACTGTGGGGTACAAGGGGCTTCCCATTAGTTGCCACATTTGTGAGGGCAGCTCCATCCTCTCCCACCTCAGACCTCATCCTGAGCTTACCCCCAGGTGCTCTCTCTTTCTCTGCTAAATTTTGCTCCCCATGGAGACCCTTCAGAACATTGTGGGCACCCTCTACGTCGCCCTGACCTGTGGGAGACCAGGCAGGCAAGATTCCCATCCTTCTGGACCCGGATGCGCCATAACACCATTGCTGTTCTGCCACATTTAGATGACACGAGCCTCCTCTCAAGTTTTGGGCTCTCTCTGTCCACTGCCTCAGACCTTGACCCAGGAAGAGGCCACAAGCACCTCTTTCCTCAGGAGGTGATGAGATGAGATCAAAAGGGGGGCCCAGGGAGTCCCACACTCACACACAAACCTGTCGCTTCTCTCCAAACTCTTTCCCATTCCTTCTCAGAAGGTAGTTTTCGACTTGTTATCAGGGAGCAGGGAGGGGAACACTTTTCTGGTCTGTCTCCTTCAACCCACGGGCAGATTTTATCAGAGTGGAGTCTCTGAACTTAGAAGTCAATGATTCATTGACTTGCTCTTGGGTGCTTCACCCAAGGGCTTCCCTAGCACAGCTGGAAGGAAAGGGACTCACAACCCCCTCGAAAGGGACTTGAGAGTTTTCATACTTGAGAGGATCTCAAGATGTCTGATGAGGGCTCAGAGAAGAGCACATCCATTAACATTCCACATCTTATCTGCCACATACCATCCGGTTCTTTCCATGTACTATTTTGCCTTGCCAGGTACAGCTAACAATAATTAAAAATTTTATCTAGTGACTGAAATTGGCTCAGAAGAAAAGTCTAAAGCAGATTGTTCTAAAAATATTTCTGGGGGCCTCCCTCATGGTGCAGGGGTTAAGTCTCAGTGCTATCATGCTGTCACCTCTGCAGCCTGAGTTCAATCTCTGGCCAGGGAGCAACCCACATGGAGCAGCAGAACCTCTCCTGTCTTGCCCGCTGCTCCCTCAGCAGTGTACTTCAGTCAATCTGCCTGTTCTGCTCCCCACTCTGTCTCTGGTGAATCCTCTTACCACCACCTCCACCTGCCCCCCACACCTCTGGCATGTACCCCAGTTCTTGTATGCATAAACAAATAAAAATAAATCTTAAAAAAAAGTTTTTAAACAAATATTTCTGGGAAATAGTTATGTATTGCAATATGTGTTTATTGCCACCTCCTCTTCCCCAAGTCCCTGTCTCCCCATTTCTGACTGTTGATTATGTGTAAATCACTGAAGATAGAGATCAAATTTGTTTCTTACTTAATAGTTACATATCTTGTCCTCATATACTTCAAAGCTCATCTCTCATCAAAGTGCTCACTTACATACCTTTACATCATCCCATTAGTTCAGTATTTTGTGGCCCAAAAGACCTTAGTAACATATGTCAGCCAATGCACTTCCATCTGGAGAATTCTTTATCATTTTTAAATCAACCTCAGAAAAGCCTGAGAGACTATAACTTGTAGTTATCCATCTAAAATGTGTCCACACTTCCCCTTTTCAGAGACGATGCTCAACCTAATCAAGTCATGTCCTTCCTATTTCACAGGAACTCAACTTTTAAGAATAATAACTTCCTGAATATAAACTTACCAGGTGTTTCACAGAGTATAAATTTAGCCTTTCTAAGCATGGCAGCAATGGCAGAAATAATAGAGAAGATGACTGATAGAGTTGATCATGTGAAATGAAAATTCTACACTCCAAAAAATATCATAAACAAAACTAAAAGGTAAAAGAAAAACTTAAAAAGTGTTGGAAACCTGACAACATATATGATCAGTTCAAAAGTTAACGTCCTGAAAATTAATAAATCAAAGCTAAACACTCCAAATTTTAAAATGAACCTAGGATATATAAATAATCCCTGAAAGAAAATATACAAGTGACCAACAAGGCATATAATTTTTGAAATATACAGATGCCCTAATAAACACATAAGTGCAAATTAAAAAGTGCAAATTGCAAAATAAAATTAAAATGCCATTCTTCCTCTTTAAAATCAGCACATTTTATAAGGAATATCCAATGCTATCATGTTTGCAATGAAGTAGATCCGTTTTCATACTGTTGCTGGGGTTATAAACTGGTATAATCTTTCTGAACAGTAATTTTATATTTGTACCTAAAACCTTAAGAATGTTTATATTTAGGGGGAGAAGAGGTAGAGCATAATTCCCCACTCCCTGAATAGGACTACTCATAGTGCTTCCGAGAGTACAGTAGAGAAAAGGGTGAGGGTGACTTCACAGTCACAGTAATTAACGTGGAGAGAAGAATCTTCTCACACAGGGAGCAACCCTCCCCCACACTGCATTAACCAGGTATCAAGGTCAACACCACAAGTCACAAGTCATGTTGATAGTATGTACTCTTGACATCATGTAATGAAAATGGCTCGTTA